CTCCTCATTCTCATAAGACAAAAACATTAAATAGAATCAATCGTTACCTACGCTGCGTTACTACTTCAAAGATTCTAATATTATCAAATAATTATTTATTTATATCTTCACGCCGTATACCTGGCGGGGTAGGCAGATTTAAGGTCGCCACAATGTACGGTCCTTTCCTTTCCTATCTTTCACCTAATCTTTCATTATTTATTATTATTAATCACTAACGATCATCAAGGAAGTCTGCTACATAAAGACTGTTTTACATAAGAAAAAAATATGTTATGAATGATTTATATAAGAATAATAAAAAAGAAATGGAATGGACTATATTATGTATTTAAAATATGTAAAAAACAACTTACAAAAAAATAATACACAGAAATATTAAAACTAGTTTCTGAGTTTACCATCTAATAACAGGACCACCTAGAACATTTGTATGGAATGTAGTAGACTAAGGCTCGTGATAAAAATGTGCACGTTTTCTAATCATTGATACTTTAATATGTTCTGTTCCTTCACCAATTAACACTCAAATCTGTAAAATTATAAGATGCGCAAAGCAATGCTCGATTTCCTTTGTCATACTCGACTTTGTAACGTTACAAATTATACAATAAATGTAAAGTTTGAAACAAGCAATTATTAATGTTTCGAATTACAAACACCCAGATATATTTAATACTAGCTGTGCCCGCAACTTCGTCTGCGTGGGAAGTATTTTGGTAGAATTCTTTTATTCCTATGAATGGAGTCGAATCGAATAAGATCAATGGGCCATAACCCACTGTGCTTAATGCGGATCGGTGGGTGTTCACGTTGCTGATGCAGCCAGGACTAACAGCTTAACGTGCATTGTGTCAGTGCTGTGCACAGTGCTCAAGATAATAATGTTTTGGTCACCCATCCTGTCCTTACGAATGTAATTTTTCTATCTTTTTTCTCGTTTCTCGCGCTCTGGTTGTCGCCTGTGTCTGACAATTTTATTTAATATTGTACAAGGTGATATACCATTGAATTTCTGTTGTGAACAAAAGTATCAATATTAATTGTCCGTACAATACGTGCTAGATCTGATTTATTAAAGTAATTGCTGTGGCAAAACGGTACATAGAATAAAGAGGTCTACGGTATTTTAGAATACGAATATTTATCTTGGTGTACCTAATATTGGACGATATCCATCGAGGGAGATTCTGTAATGAAATTAAATTCAGACCAATCCCAAATAAAGCATAATCTACTTAAATCTAATTTCCTATAATAAATTCATTTGGAATGTATCGTGATATGTTCTACAATTATAGTGATTTCCATTACTACTAATAATTTACATTTTATCATAAATATATATTATATGTAACTAATAAAGTTCATTAGCGCTTTTCCCCATTGATAAATGTAAAAGGCGAATTTTCTTTTTAAGCCAACAAACAGACTGTAAATGCCGTGTAAATGAAAACCGTTCCGTAACCGTAAAAAATATTTGTGGAAATAGGATGGTGCTCTACACGTATATAGAGGTGACTCACTTTGATAACTGCATTTGCATTGCTTTAAATAACTCAAGGTACAGTTTTGTATGAAATGTTTTGAGATCGTATATATATTTAATTAAACACACATTTTTTTACACATACAACATACAATTAATACAGTCAACACACACTATATACATTGTTTACATATTAATACTTCACTGAATTTAAGGAAACTGACCAAATTAGAAATCGACATAGAACTTAACTGTACTTCTATAAAAGTATTTTAAATGCATCAAGGACAATATCGATCTGTCAAGTATCAAAGAATAATAAAAATATTGGCGACAACTCTATTCCTGTTCTAAACACAACTAAAGTTCAATTCCCAATATACAAGTACAATATACAAGAGATAGAGCTTTAATGAAATAAAACCTCTATAACCTTTTAAAGTAGATTTTATTTGATCGAACCTCTATGTTATTATTATAGTGTTGCGCTCAATGATGACTTCGAGGCTATTCTCATAAAACATTAGCACTGCGGGCCATGCGTATGTCGAGATTTTCGAGCGACGCGAAATATTTATTAGTTTATATGCGATGTCATTTTATACAGCGTGTGTGGTCGTTTGTTGGCGTAATCAGAAAATCAGCATAAAGCTTGTAAAAATTCTACGTAGTACACGACGATAATTGTTTTGAATCAAGATTGCTTGTATAATAATTATTTTATACTAATTATACTCTTTATCATTGTTTGGTTATAAATATTTGTTGTCATTCTATAGGTAGAAAATATTATGAATTCACAATTTATAGGTATTTATCATGCAGAGTAGAATTTTTACACCCTGGAATTTAGGTTCATTATATTCGATAATACAGCGTGCATTAATTAATATTGTGAGAGGAAAACACACAATATACGTATCATTATTTCAACGAGATGTATTTAAATTAAAATATTTATCTCCAATAATATTCAGCTGATTTTTAAATTGATTATTTGTTGCTAATATGTCGGTGAAGCAACTATTATCTATGCATCTTTTTTTAAACCTTTTTTCTTTCAATATATTTTATTCCAGTGCGATGAAATAAGATTAATAAAATAAGCAGCTGTTTACTTATAATTGTAACAAGTGTATATAAGCCCAACTATTTCTAAATGCTCCTGAGACATTATTAAATATATAAAAAGCGTGGCAAAAGACTATCAACAACGTTGGTAACTTTAAAATATTTATGTAAATTTCATATTTCAATATTGATAATGATAGCAGTATGCGTTTTATGATTTACTATTCAATCATCCTTCTATAAACTGTTGGATATCCAAACGCAACGTTCATTTGCCGCCGATAAATTTCACCGGTCAATACCGTACGGGTTCGAGATAATTTGAACGCCACAACCCGTAAACCAATCCCGAGTGTAGTCATGTGTGTAAATTTCATCTCAAACATTCTCTAAGAGAAACGCTCCCATAATAATGCGGACGCCTTGTAGTGGTTTCTGAAACGGATGTTAAGTAGGTATATTTGAAGCTTTATTGAAATGCTGTTTAACAAGTTGTGCATGATTATTAAGAGTGCGAATTGTGGAGGTACCTATATAAGGTGCTTAGAGAATTACGAAAGTATATTGTGTTCAGTTAATTAGATAATACGAGAGAAGTAGAACATTGCAATCCGATTTCAGTAGCTTTATTATTTTATGATAAGTGATTTGAAGGAAGTAAGTAATAATTAAAGCTGGATAATAATAATTATGAGGAAGGACGTGCTTACCAGTGGACGTCTAATGGCTGATGATGATGAAAGCTAATGTGTTATTTTTTAAACAAACTTGTTTTTTTTTTCAGAAAGAAATATTACACATATTAATGCAATTGTCTTTATGAACTCTAGTTAATGTGGTTTATTATTTTGATAATTATTTTAACTGTAAAATATAACAGCAAATTCTTAGTAATTGTATTATATATGTCGGTTGACTTCGAATGGAATGAAAACTTAATATTTTCAAAGATGAATCTTCTCCTTAAGATTGGTTGTCTAGAATACATTTTTTTAGCGTATGAACATCACTTGGATAAACAACAAAAAAACGCTTTTCAAGCATCATATAAGTAGAACTCCTGAAAAAGACTTAATTAATATAGTATGATATTATTATTTAATAGGAATTGGTAAAAAGTTGGGTTAGGTTAATTCACTAAAATGTTCAATGCATATTTGTGTAGTGCTTCTCTTTCTTCAATAACATTGAATGAAAATACAAATCATCCTTGATATTGTCGAAAGTTTCAATAATTTAACCAAACAAACTTTACCTACAATAAACTTATCCGAAATTATACACCTCGTCAAAATAATGAAATATGATACTTTTCATTTGAAAGCTAAACAAGTAGGCAAGACAGATTTACAAGATTGTTCATTTCTACATTAATTGTTTTACTCGTATTAGGATATAAAATTTTTAATATTCAACAAAGGATAGAGGTACATTTACAATTCATAAATATTTTTTATTTAATATAAGGTACTCCATTTTGAATGGGTGTCTACTAGAATTTAATAATTAACAAATAATCTTCCATTGCAAAGTGAACTTAGAGTCCATCACGAAACAACGAAAAAGAACATCTTTAAGCTAACAATTTATACCAAAATCACAACCTACCATTACCAAGAGCAACTCATGTTTAATGTATATACATATTATTTGATGTAAATTAGTTCAAAGAGCTGAATTTATACAAACATTTAGATAGGATGGTCAAGTAAAATTTATTCATAGGACCAGGACTCAGAAAATATAACGTAAGATTTCGATATAAAGAATGACAGTTCTACGAATTCTTACCTGAATAAAGTATCAATCACCATCGACAGTGTTTAAAACGACAATATTTACATATTTCATAAGACTAAATTATTTACAAAAGTATCACAGGAATTTTTAACGTGATCAAATGGAACAGGTTCAACATTGACTAGAACATTTAATACTTTTTTATATCAATTTGGTATATTAAGAGATGCATATGATTAAAATTCGTTCAGAATTATCAATTACTTATTTGAGAATACTATAATCGTTTACACCTATTTTACAGAAACACAAATTCGAGACGCTTCTTTTTTTCACTAGTTTATTAAAAAATATGCTGATCTATCTGGATTTACTTAGTAATATGTATATGTGTATGTGTATCAGGAAATTTTAGATTTCTTAAATATTTATTATGATATGATACAGTACAATGGAGTGGTTTATATTTGAAAAATAAAATCATAAATCGAAATTTATTACGTCGAGATTGACTATTCACTACATTTACATTTACCACTGCCCTAAGCTCTTTGGACAATTTTTAAAGCAGCAAATATAATGAGCATATGTCTAAGACTAATATTAATTCTATTGGAGTATTGCTTCCACATAACAGTCTTAAAGTTCAAACCACATCACTTTTATCAAGAAGCCCGTTGTTACTACCACCGTCTTCTTGTCATATGTGGTACTCCCTCAATGGTCGTACGGATTCAGCTGATGATCTAGGAGTTGGATCTACGCCAGAGAGACCTAAAGATCCACTCCGGCGAACCACTAGAGTCTTCGTTCCGTAGTCTGTTACGAAATTATCATTCCTAGTGGGAGTGTTGGCTCTAACTGTTTGGTAACCACAGCAAGGAGGGTACCTGGATGTGAGGATCTTTTTGAAGGCTTCCCTGAATTCGGTGTTGAATATAGAGTAGATGATTGGATTGAACGCGGAGTTGGAGTAGCCGAGCCAGGTCAAGATTTTGAAGGCCAGATCTGAAATCAAGAAGTTTTGTTTAATATTGTTCGCAGTGAATAATGTATTTTACTAGGTTAAAAAGTTTAATCCAAAGAGAAGGTTTCTCTATTTTAATAAATGTTTGTCTTCAAATCCAATATTTGTTTAGGCAAAATCTCTCTATATACAATAAAGGATATTTTATTTAGCATCAAAAAATGTTCTATTAATTAGTCTTTCTAAAATTTAATGACTTCTGATCAACAAAAGTATTTATTAATTACGTTCTACCTAATTACGATTTATGGGCATATCGAAAAAGATAGAAATATTTCACTTAAAAAGAAAAAATGTTATCGGTTTTAAATTAATTCGTATGTAATGATATTATTAAAATCAAAGAAAATTAATTTCCCCAAATTTATGAATATGAAATACTTCTTGGAAGTTATTGACATAAATTTTTTTAACATTTCAGAGATCTTTTAGATCGCAGTGATCTATTGAGAAATAATTACATCGTATAATCTCAAAATTATAAAAAAATATAATAAAAATGTTTTATAAACATTAATCTAATTATTTATTAAAACATATTTCAAACGTTCGTGTGTGCAAACTCGTCTCAATCAAATATTTATCTCTCAAAAACTTTTCTGTTTTGAAAGGGTTCCTTTAGCAATCGTTCCCTTTGAGTACTTTGATCAAAATTTCTATAGAAATTGCTTCGAACTGTACTTGGCTTACGTCTAGATAAGTTTCAGAGTTCACTCAAGAGTGTCAACAACAATCACAGCGGGTTAATTACAAGTTTTAATTTGAGTTACCTTCCTTCGGGTATCTTTCAATTATAGTTCTTGAACTTCCGCAAGTCTTAACGTAGATGGGACATTTCTATTTCTAGTCTTTTGAACTAAATGAGTTTGTTGAATGAAATTTTCTCAGGAAAAGAGATAATTGGTGCTATCACATTAAAATAATTCTCCTACACGTTATATTCTATGAAAGTAAATCGTTTTAAAAGTAAAAGTAATAATGAGTATGTCAAAAAAGTCTATTTGAAAATCAATTCCTTATTTGTCATCCTACTCACAGTTATTTATCTCTAACTTTTTTAAACAATATTCCAGTTTTCACAAAGGAAAAGTAATTCGTCTTTATTAAACTTCATAAGACGTATTCAAAGGGGGTTTTCCTTTAGAAAACTGTAAACTTGTTGAGTGTCTATAATTAAATTCACCTGGTATGCACGTCTTACAGAAAGCAGCGACGATGTTCACAGAGAAAAACGGCACCCAACACAGAAGGAACACTCCCATGATGATGCCGACGGTGATAGCCGCCTTATGGTCGGACACGTGATAAGGCGACGAGTGGACGTGGGTATGGACGCGAGTGCGAACCGACTTGGTCCTGTTGTCCGGCATTTGGACAGTTCTTGTCACCGCACGAATTGACTTGACGTGCTTCTGAGCGTAGCAGTACAGTCTGTTGGAGAAAACATATTTATATTTATAGAACTTATACAAAGTAGACTTGATAGACCGATCAAGTGGTTAAGTTGAACAAAAGAAAAACAAAATGTAGGCAAGCTAGCGAAACGAGTTTGCTACGTAGTACTGCGAAAGCGGTATGCAAACGTCTTATATTATTTTTTTTAATAATTCTTTAAGGTGTTATATGTAAATGTTATTATGATTAAAGAAATTATGTTATGTGTAAATAAAGTAGAAAGAAAATATCTTAAAATAGTAAACAAATGGATCAAGGACCTTCAAAAACAATATTTCTGCTGATAAATTAATTTAATTAAAACAATTTTTTATTAAATTTGGGGCAAGCATTAATTTGCAATAAAGCAGCTGATGTAGCCAAATATTGAGTGTACCTTTTCTCCACGAAATCCATTCAATCAAAAGCAACATATGAAGATACAACAACATAATTTTGTCAGTGAAAACGTGACTCGTGTAACATAACATACATTTTGTATAAGACAATTTCATTAGATGTATACACACAACTTGCTTTTAAATGAGCTGCTTAATTTTTTAGGAAATGTACAAAGTTTTAACAAGGTAGTCACTACGCTATTGCGCTTCGCGAAAATATAAAATGAGAATTGAAACTATCTGACGCAAAACAAATCAAAATGACGGTATGAACGATGGGTGTAATTCTTTATCTCATGCCCAACACATCACTAATCCATTGAAACCAATGTTCTTGTTTAAATTTTATATTTAATTGCCTTGTTTTTGAAACAATGCAGTTGTCAGATTTCTGAATCACAAGAAATTTTTAGAATTCAGTATCAAAATGTTTCATAAAAAACCAAGATTATTTATTCGTTATGTGATTATTAATATTTTTAGATAATTAATATGACGATTGATAACAATAAATATGATATAACATCAGTATTGCTTAGATTCCAAGATAAATAGCTAAATCCCTTGTATAATAGAGTATTTGAAACTACGAAAGTATCACAGTTGCCATAACCGAGACAAAATATAAAAGTTAATAAATTTCCATTGATCTGAACTTAAAAACTTAGAGATGGCAATACCTTGAAACTGGCGTATGACTCACTTGGTTGTAAACGTATGTATCAATGATGTTAAAAGGGAAGAAATATAAGTATTCGTGATTTACATACTTCTCTATCGAATAAATAAGCCTTTTATATAACAAGCCATAAGTATTCACATAAGAATAAGTAAATGATGTAAACATATTTCATAATATAACGAGGGAATTCTCCTAGAGAAATGTCAAAGGAGATAACAGCACTTCCCTCCACTTTCACATTATGAAAGGAGGCAATCTACCCGAGTGCATGGGAAGTATTCAAGTATTAATTTTATGGAGAGTTTGGAGACTACTACCAACATGATGGTGATATAAATAATAATAATGTTAGAGCTGACAGCTCACAGTTGCAAGCTTAAACGAGCGAGGTCACGACTAAATAGCTCAAATGATTAAAACTTTAATCTTCTCACATAAATACCACAATAAAACCACAATTTTTCTGCTATTGGAATTTTTATAATAGTTTGACAGACGATAACAAAAAATGTTGCTTTAAAATAAAACCATAGATATTAACCTAAGAAAGGAGGTACAAAAGGAACACAGTTTCTATTAAGAGCCTTTACATAGGTATATATTAGGACGGTATATTTAATATAGTATTAATGTGTATTTAATTATTTATTTATATGTTTATTTTTATAGTATGTATTTACCTTATTAAACATTCCGCCCACCAAAAGGCTACCGGCCTTTTCAAAACTTAATATTATTGTTATAAAGCAGATTTTCAGATCCGCCCACCGTAAAAACTCTATACAAATAACACAAACATATTTATTAATTATTATTATATAAAACTAATCTTTTGGTAAGAAACATAATTTGTTACATGGCCGTTTAAAAGTATTATTTTTTGTTTTAATTGTAACAACGCGGGTAATGTTATCTTTACCAGGGTGTTTCTCTATGATTTTTCCTAACAACCATTTTGCTGGAGGAATATTATGATCTCTCACAACTACAATATCATCAATTTCAGGCTCATCTTTTTTAATAGACCATTTATACCTATTATTTAAAGTTACTAAATACTCGTCAGACCACCTCTTCCAAAAATCATTAACTATTTTTTGAGTAAGCTTCCATCTCTGACGACCTGATATATACGATTGAGAAAAATCCTCATCGGGAACTGTAATAAGTGGTTCTCCAATTAAAAAATGACCCGGCGTCAATGGCATTGGATCCTCTGGATTATCGCTTAAATAGGATAAAGGACGGGAGTTTAAGCACGCCTCTACCTGTGTTAAGATCGTGGTTAACTCCTCAAAGGTAAGTGTTGAATCTCCTATGACTCTTTTTAAATGAGTCTTAGTAGACCGGACAGCAGCTTCCCAAAGTCCTCCGAAATTGGGAGCTTGTGGCGGTATGAAATGCCATGTAGTGCCTTCTTGAGCAAGTAAATGAGAAATTTCGATTGGCAATTGCGATTTCGCTTTATTGAACATATCTCTCAATTCTTTATCAGCTCCTATAAAATTGGACCCGTTGTCGCTGTATAAATGTTGACAATAACCTCTACGGGAAACGAATCTTTTGAAAGCTGCTATGAACGCAGCGGCTGTTAGATCCGATACAGCTTCTAGATGGATCGCTTTGGTTGACATACATACAAAAACACATATGTAGCTCTTATAGGATTTTGATCCTCTGCCAGGCGAAAATCTTACATTTATATGACCAGTGAAATCCACACCAGATGATCGAAAAGGTCTATCAGGAGTTAATCTAGCCTTTGGAATTTGGCCCATAAATGGATTGTTATTTTGACGTGAATAACGAACACAAGTTACGCAATTTCGATAGCATTTTTTTACTTTCTCTCTAATTCTTATTATCCAATATTTACTTCTTATAAAATTTATCATAATTTGAGGTCCACCGTGAAGTGTCTTGTAATGTGCATCTATAATTATTAATTTAGTTAGATGAGAGTCACTAGGCAAAATTAACGGGTGTTTTTTCTCAACTCGTGCAACAGAAAACTCGATACGACCTCCTACTCTTAATAATTCATTTTCATCCAAAAACGGCGAAAGAGAGTGAAGAGTACTTTTTTTAGTGACACATCCAGCTCCAGAGTTCAGTTGCTTAATTTCTTCTTCGAAATGTAATTTTTGTGTTTCCTTTATACATTTATTTAAAACTTCAGTCATTTCTTTTACTGTAATTGATTTGTCAATTTCACGTGTGTTTTTAGGCTCTTTTAACTTTAAAAACTTTCTACAGTAAGCGAGCACTCGTAACATTTTGTTTAAGTTTGAAAATCGTGTCCATACAAAATCTTCATTTGCCTGTACTAGGGTTGTGAGTGCTCTAATAGGCTTAGCTTCGAGATCAGTATCTTCTTCAAAATTGGTCATATAAACATTTGTATGATGTAAAAATTTAGGTCCATGCCACCACATACTATGTTCACTCAATTCTTTTACAGATATGCCCCTAGATGCACAATCTGCAGGGTTTTGATCTGTGGTCACATGGTTCCATTGGTCAAATTCCATAATCGTTAAAATTTCAGAAACCCGATTACTGACAAATGTGGTCCAACGACTCGGCTCCCCTCTAAGCCATGCTAACACTACAGTTGAATCGGACCATGCAAACATTTTATTTTTAGGTACCTTCAATATTTGAGCGACTTCAAAAATGAGTTTAGCAGCCATCAATGCTGCACATAGTTCCATTCTTGGTATAGAAATCTCTTTATCGATTGGTGCAACCTTTGTTTTCGCTGTTACTATATTTACATGAATATTTCCATCCTTGTCAATTGATTTAATATAAACGACAGCAGCATAAGCGGACTGTGAAGCGTCAGCGAATACGTGAAGCTCAACTGAATCATTTTTCTTTGTTGACAACCATCTAGGAATGACAATACTTTCCATTTTGTTTAGTTCCTCTCTAAAATGAAACCATTCTCTTTGTAAATCTGGTGTCAAGTTATCGTCCCAGTTCAAGCCAGACTTCCACAACCTTTGCATGTAGATTTTAGCTGTAATTAATACTGGCGTTACCCAACCCATTGGATCGTAAAGTCTTGCAATGTTGGATAAAACTTTACGTTTTGTCACAGATATATCTAATTCTGGTAAGTTATAGGTGTACTCAAAATTGTCAGAAATTTTATTCCATGAAATGCCTAAAACTTTAATGGTGTCATTAACTTTAAAATGGTAGTTACTATTTAAGCTATGGTTCTCTCTTTCAATATAATCCAAAAGTAATTTGCTGTTGCTGCCCCATTTTTGTAACATAAAGCCTCCTTCTTTCATTAATTCGTTTATTTCTTTATAAATTTGTATAGCTTCATCTTCTGTCTCGCAACTGGATAACATATCATCTACATAGAAATCTTCAACAGTTATTTTTGCAGCCAACGGATATTTCGCCTCTTCATCCTTTGCCAACTGTTGGAGAGATTTTACTGCCAAATATGGCGCACACGACGTTCCGAAGGTGAGTCTCAATAGTCTGAAATGCTGTATGGGTTGATCGGGATCATTACGCCATACTATGCGTTGAAAATCGGTATGACTTTTATCAACGACCACCTGCCTATACATTTGTGTTATATCCGCTACGACACAATACTGCTTTATTCGCCACCTCATCAAAATGTGGCGTAGATCTTGTTGTATTCTAGGGCCCACTAGTAATGTATCATTTAATGACACACCATTAACACCTTTACAAGATGCGTCAAAAACTACTCTTACTTTTGTAGTTTGTCTATCTTCTCGGACTATAGCGTGGTGAGGAAGGTACACAGCGTAAGGGTTATCAATCTCTTTTTGGTCCTTAATTTGTTCCATATGATTTTGTTGCAGATAATCCGCAAGCACATTAGCATACTCTACACGTAAATTATAGTTTTTCTTAAGTTTCTTTTCTAACAGATTTAATCTTTTAATTGCAATGGTTTTAGATCTTCCGTATATACACTTCGGACTCGATTCCTTGAACGGTAATCGAACTACATAACGCCCATCATTATCTCTTACAGTAGTTCTTTCAAATATCTCTTCACATCTAATCTCTTCTTTAGTTAGCTTTCTTCCAATTAAATCCGGTTCTCTTTCAATTTCCCAAAATTGTTTCAATAAACTATCTATATTAACTTGTAAATGAAGACTAACGACTCTTGAGTCTAATTCATCTTGTTGGCTCATTTTTCCGGACAAAATCCATCCTAACTGAGTGTTTTGTGCCACAGGCCCAACATCCGATGGGTGTTTCAATAGTCCGCTCAATATTATTTGACTGTAGACTTCAACCCCTAAAATAATATCTATTTTACCAGGCGAGTCATAATGAGGATCAGCCAACGGTAAGTTATTAATATCAGGCCAGTTCAGAATGGAAGACTTACTCGATGGAAGAAATGAAGTCAACGAAGATAAAATAAAAGCGTTCACTGAAATGGAAAAGTCAGGATTATTTATGGATTCTATCTCAAAATGAACAATATTTTTAGTTTTTAGTTTACCGTCACCTACACCAATTACTAAACCATTTACTGGTGTACGCTTAAGACATAAAGATTGAGCGATACTCTCAGTAACAAAAGAAGCTTCGGAACCCTGATCAATCAGAACCCGCGCTGTTTGAATGTAGCCATTTGTGGATTTAACCTTGACTAAAGCCGTGGCTAATAGCACCTTAACTTGATGCTCCTCTTTTGCAAAATGAGCTACTACCTTTTTCTCATAATCTAAACTTTGCGGACTACTAGTTACATTACCAGAAGATTGATCAGTACTTGTGGACGGCAACTGCGCCACGACAGCTTCTTGTGATGAAATTCTCTCTATATGTAGCAGTGTGTGATGACGCCTACCACACCGACGACAGCACGTGGATTGATGGCAGTTTCTCACATTGTGGTTGGATGAAAAACAATTGAAACAAAGTCTCTTGGTATTAACAAACTCGGATCTCTCTTCGGGAGACTTGCTTGCAAATTGTTTACATTGGAATAATAAATGGGGATTCGAACACAACACGCATGCTTTATTTTGTTCTTTATTCTCTCTCTTATTCTCTTGTACAGTTGAATGAAATACTTTTTGTTTTGTGATTTGCTTAGTATTTACGTTATATTTCACAGGTTGTTTTGCGTCATAGATCATTTCTAGGGTTCTAAATCTCGTTTCCAGAAATTGAACTAATTGGTTCCACGTTGGAAATTCATCAGTCGTAGAGCGACCAATTTCCGTTTCCCATTGTTTCCGCGTCTCATAATCTAATTTAGATACAACCAAGTAATTGATTATGACATCCCACGTCGCTATATCAATACCTAAATTTTTCAGGGATTTTAAGCAGGCGGATGTTGTATCAATCAATTGCTTTATGGCAGAGGCGGACTCGGATGAGATTGTTTTCTGTGAGAACAAACGCTTCATTACCTCGTTAGAATTATATCTTTTGTTACTATAGCGACGTTTCAGTTTGTCCCATGCTTCATCATAGTTCATTTCTGTAGTAGACAAACTTTTCAATAACATTTCAGGTTCGCCCTTCAAACTACTTTTCAGGTAATGAAGCTTCTGCACTGCATCCAAATGTTGATTGGTGTGAATCAACGAAACAAACATATCATGAAAACATTCCCAATCTTCATAAGAACCGGAAAACGAAGGTAATTGTATCTGTGGTAACTTAACTTCTAAGTTAGTGGGGGCGACGTTAGAACTACTTACATCACATACTTTCATAGAAGCTGAATGACCAACATAACTTTTGGCTAAATCAATTTTCATCTTTGTTTTATAGTCGGTATATATATCCTCCAAACTTTCATAATAACCTTCCTTAAAATAGGGCAATGCGTCTCGATCTTGCTTTGGTGTTGCGACTATAACATCATAATGATTGTCGGTAAACCTCTTCCATAAGCCTTCTAAGTTCTCTAGTCTTGTTTGTATGTATAACGTAGTCAATCTATCTTTACTTGACTTTTTATAGTTAATATAAGCTCTATTTATTTGCGTCACAATTTCTTCTTGTAATAGTATTAATTTATCCATTTTGTAATTTATTATTTAATCTCTAAGCCCCCAAACTACTAAACAGTTTTTACTCTATTAAAACAAAACTGATTTTCACTAAGTCCTTTTCAACTGTACTTGACTCACGATTTTTATAAATACATGTTTTTATTGTATTCGTTCCCGGGTTTCGGCACCATATGATTAAAACTTTAATCTTCTCACATAAATACCACAATAAAACCACAATTTTTCTGCTATTGGAATTTTTATAATAGTTTGACAGACGATAACAAAAAATGTTGCTTTAAAATAAAACCATAGATATTAACCTAAGAAAGGAGGTACAAAAGGAACACAGTTTCTATTAAGAGCTTTTACATAGGTATATATTAGGACGGTATATTTAATATAGTAATAATGTGTATTTAATTATTTATTTATATGTTTATTTTTATAGTATGTAATTTAATATAATTCTGTCAAATTTTAACTTTATTACCTTCCCGACGTTAGTTACTACTCTATGTTTATATGTGGTTACTATACTCATAATAAGTCAAAAAAATTAAACCTATCTACTCGTATTTAATTAGTTTAAATGTAGTTTTTTTAAAACAGGTTTCCTGACTTCTGTTATAGCAGGTCATCTTTTCTGCTCTCTTTTTTGTATTGCTAATTTCTTTATTTTATTTTCAAGATATATAGTTACCTTTTGTCTTTTTAAAGAGTTTTCCTTCCCTTTTTTCATTTCTGTTTCTTGTACTTATATGTTATTACATTCTATTTTACAGTTTTTTTGTTTTGATTTTTACATTTATATATTCATACTCTCTACATAATTGCTCATATTTGCAGGCATTGCAAATTCTTAATCTCATATCACAAAAAAAAATCTAATCGTTGTTCTTAAGTGCCGTTTTTTGTACAATAGTGCATGCATGTTTCAAAAATACATGTCTTTCCTTATTATTTTCCGATATTTTAGTTAGATTCTGTATAAATATAAATGTAGTTATATGTATTACGTTGTGGCAAAAAGTTAACAAGTTTATTTTTTTTTAATAATGCATTATTTTTTATTGTAACTGTTTGGGCTGCAATTTTTCAAGGAAATAAATAATTACAAAGGAATAAATTTAGTTATTTAGAAGTTTGAAGTACGTGTCATTCATGTTTAAAATTGTCTATTTATATCACGTGATCTGCTTTGAATCACTTACTCCTTATTTACTATATATGTATACTAAATTTCAACTCAATCAGTCTAGCAGATTAGGATAAAATCAACTGTGACACACTGACAGACAGAAACAGAATAATACATGAGCTAGTGTTTACTTTTTGAGATTCGGAATACTAAAACAAGCCAAAATCACATTTTTTTTTAAACTGAACAGCAAAACATACGCTTTTACAACAAAAAAATGATAATTTATATACGCAGCTTAGATAAGAAATGTGGCCCTATTGTGCTCCCTTGTGGAACCCGTTCACAATAAAAATCGGTCACATGTGAAACGGACGTTATTAATAGTGAGCAAAAGACTGAAGTCAATGAGACAGGGATTATTCAGTGTTTGAAACTAAACAATGTGGGAATCATAATGACATATTATTTCGTGATTTCTTTGGAATTAAAGTTTATGAAACCCCTTACATCAGCTGAATTAATGTTGTTAATGATCTTTGTTCACTGGACGAGTTAGTTTATCTTAATCATTAGGCTCTGCAGTCCGACATTATTATTTTTTCTTACCTGCAATATATGCTAATCATCACAATACATGGCAGGATGAATGATATACAACTGGATACTACAGCGTATGTTGGAGTCAAGACGAGGGCACAGGTGGGATATCTCGGAGGCCTCTGAGTTGCTAGAGCTTCCTCATCAGGTCGGTGGAGGCCTAAAGATATGGGCAAAAAACTGACTAGTGCTGCTAGTAGCCAGATCATAGCGATTGTGATGATAGCTACGCGTCTAGTAACCCAGCGGCCGTATCTGTAACAAAATTAGTTATAAGGATACAAAACTATCGTTCTGGTTTGTTGATTCAGCAAATCGACCGCATAACTTGATGAACTTTGATTTGTTTGACACCTTATCAATCAAAATACACTCAACATTTTGTACTCTATTGAGCGTTGGATGAATTTTTAAACGATTTCAAAGTCAAAAAGGAGGAGGTTTTATGTTGATGGCAATGTATATGTTTTATTGATTCGAATACCCACCAAATCGACGTCAATTAAATTATGTAATAGGCCTGCTCGTTACTGTAAAGTTTGTTTTAATTTTTTGCTATTGATAGCAACAATAAAATTATAATAATATCAACTATTACTTTTTTTTGATCAATTTTCACATTTGTTATTTTTTATTTCCATTTATTTAAGCGACAAACAATTAATTTATTTTGTTTAGCTAGTTTATTCGATTCGATCAATTTTCACATTTGTTATTTCCATTTATCTCAGTGACGAACAATTTAGTTATTATCTTTAGCTAGTTTAATTAAGGTATAATATCCTTAAGTCTCACCTTAAAGGATCTTTGATATGTATATATCTATCCAAGGATATGGCACACAGATTTAATATTGAAGCCGTCGAGCACATGACGTCACAGGCCACCCAAGTATCGCAGAATTGCTCACCAAAGACCCAGTACCTGAGAACAAAAGAAAGGAATTAAAATCAAGAACGATACGAATTTAAAGTTTATCCAAATAATTCCTTGATATTGAAGCCTTACAGTCTTAGGGATTGGGATTGTTGTAGGTAAGACAAATGACAATGTGAAAATTATTTATTCTGATAAAATGTTGCACTGATTTCCCATCATAAATAAAGGTAATTATTATTATTCATGCCCTAAGTGGAATTTAAGATCTGTGATATAACTAACAGTCAGTCAGGATACTAGTCTTATTTTGCTTATAGATTTAAATCATCATCCATCTGTTATGGCGCATCTACGAGGAAAAGGTTAATAAAGCATGACGCAATCCGGCACAAACATTTCTTGATTCACATACAGTGTTAAATATGTGTTTCGGATGGCATCATGTCTTAAACGTTTGTTTCTGGAGTTAAGATTACATTAAAAAAATCGGGATACTCACCCAAGCAGGTCATTAACACCAGCAAAGGTCATAACAGCCGCGGCTACTAACATGTCAGCGATGGCGAGAGAAGCGAGAAACAAGTTCCCTATTCGTCTCAACCCTCGGTCGGTGTATATTGCTATGCAAACTAAGATATTGCCAGCAACACTCAGGAATATTAGCAGTGACAGGAATATACCTGAGGCAGAAAAACATATTCACTAAGAAATATCCCTGCGCTCATTTTATAGATATCGTTATCTTCACCCGCCACAATTCCGTTTTAGGCCAGGGTAATATATCATTGTCTTCCTCTTTCATGCATCATAAGACGTCATTTTAGCATTCATCCTTTTCTTGAAGACGTTATAATGTTATACAATATAATTATCAATCTAAATTGACCTCAATACTTGAGCTGCTTTATTTGTTGTTTAAGAGCGTACTTTTAGAATCTATGAATACCTATGTTATGTCAAGTTTGAATCAATTTCTCTAAAATAATACGATTTACTTAGAATAACATAAACAAATAAGGGAAGACTATAAATTTGTATAAATACTGCGCATGTTAATTTCAACAATAAAAAAAAAATGTAAACAATTTTATAAAATACTAGTTGTTCTCCTGAGATTTCACTCGCGTAGATTAAAACCTATATGTCACTCGTGGATGACGTAGCTTCCCATCAGTGAAAGCGTTTTTTAAATAAGCTCTGTCTGTAGTTTCGGCGCCTATTCAATTTAAACAAACAATCAAATTTTGCATTTTATTAATATTGGTATTTATTATCAAAAAGGTCAAATGATAAGAAATCTAGAATGCTAAAAATACGTTCTTGTCGGCTTTACATTAGATAATTTAATTACCTAGAAGATAGATATTATATAAATAATAATATTAAAGCATATTTTATTAATGAAATATCTTCATAATTTATGGAATGTCCAATATCTCTAGACTTATAAAAGAAGCTAGATTTACGAGTAAATAATAAGGTTCTTGAATTTGATAATGTTTTTTTTTGGAAAAAATAAACGATAGTTACTAAAGTATAAAAATATCAAGTATGAAGGTTTACCAATTTGTTGGTAACGTTTTTTCGATAACGTTGAATTTTATTTGACCTTCACGACGTCCAGTTTTTATTTAAGATCGCTTAATCAAACACGTGACGTTTTGGGGCGGAGTTGATCTGATAAAAAAGTTTTCCATCCCAATAAGCAGAGCTCCGAGCTTTATACGAAATATATTTTATCGCAGCTTCCACATATATACACCGAAAATATTATTAAAAAAAAAATTGATATCCTAATTTCAATTCAATATTCTATAGCGAATTATATTTTGAAGTAAAGTGTGACCATACCCTGATTCGGAAAAAGTGATTCGTAGAGGTTGCATACGCGATTCGGCAAAGAACGAAATGCATCCATTCGTCCATATTTCTAGCCATAATATTACTACGATACTATTTTAAAAGAATGATTAAAAATGGAGTTCAGAGATAAAAATGACAAAACACGAGTATGACTGAGAAACATCTAAGTAATTTCCTGATCTGTAATGAACAAAGACAAAGTATATAAAAAGAAATATATGTATAGTTAAAATTTTCTCCCACTCTCACCGAAAAGACGAAGCAAGCTTCAGTGCTGTGTTTGACATAATTTCTATGTTTGAATGAACGACATGTAACATCTCCACCAATTATTTCCATCAATTGGAGTGTTATAAATTGAAAATACACTGTTCATTCAAGTAGGCAAATTAAAATCATTTCTGAAACGTCTGAAATTTTACCTGCCGCCAATTCACGAGATCTGTTATATCTAACTAAATTACTTTATAAACAATTCACAATAGGCAACACCATTAAAGCTATTATGTGTTAATTAGAAGCTAAAGGCACTCGATGATATGATAATAATTACGATACTTTAATGGGATCCTGTCTTTTTGCATAATTTACATATTCCTAATATACTTAATATTAATATTTTTTATGATTTGCGTGCCATGGAGATAGAGGCAGGCGAGCGCATTATACATGTTTTAAATTTATCCATTACGAATTATTCTTAAGACGTCCGAAGCGGCGGAAGACGTTGATACGACCTGGTCCTAAATCTTTCATTGTAGCGGTACAAGTTATTTTAGCCCCTATAACGTTTTAGAAACTAAATTCATTTTTGGCATCATGTTAATAAAAAATACCAATATGATTTTTTGCCTTGGACATTATATATAATAAACTGATGTATATACGAATATCATATACCTATTTTAATTATATTTGAAAGAAATCCGTTTAAAAATAATTCTTAAATCATGCTTAATAATTCATGTTTTTATCCTTTCGTTAAAAATCGTTAATCATTTGCAAATTGAAAAATACTGGTCACATGCATAATTATCTCTTTTCTTTAAATACCCACACCAACCTAGAAAGTTGCTTCAAAACTTTTCGGACACTATATTCATATTTATGACGTTCACCACTCACTCATTTTATGCCATCTCGTTTATTTACTTGCTCGATATTAAAATACTTAATAAATTGAGAAAAATATAATGACGCTGTTAAAACATTGTGTACAATATACGATAGTATTGTTATAATTGTAAATTTACTGAACACAATCGCCGGCTTTACTGGTAGAGAATGCCTTTTTTGGCATTAAGTCCGCCATTTGCTATTTTATAGACAGAATTAAATGAATAGTTATACTAGTGATACATATCGTAGACCACAGTCGATCCAGGAGGAGTGGATCGCAAGCCTTTTTTACTAATACCATAACATATAGAATTGAGACAGTATAGAAAGTTCATTGTTTATGACGATCCAACCATAAATTGCACTCAGATATGTCGACACCTTAAAATCGATGAGCCAGCCACTCGGCCAAGGCGGTTTGGTTCAACATACCAACAAGCAGTATTGATAGGAGTGTGACGGCATCCGGATCGTCTGCATCTTCGTATTCCACTATAGTATCGTTTACCTCTGGCTCCACCTACCAAACAAAAAAGAATTATTTCTCATATTCGTTCGTTTAATATAGTTAATATAAAGTAACTCAGTGGCGTAGTCGATAAGCGCCGCGACCTGCGATCGTTGTTTTTAAGCAACTTTCGCAAGGATTTGCCACGGGATGGGTGACCAAAAAATTATTATCTCTAGCTACTAAGTGCTTCAGGTGGCACGTTAAGCATTTAGTCCTGGGTGCATTTGAAGTGATCGGGACCCTCCGATTCGCATTGGGCCGGCGTGGGGGGTCATGGCCCGTCCTCGTTGACCATCCGAGGGAGACCTGAGCCCCTGCAGTGGGGACGTAAGAGGGCTGATAACGATAATGATGAACACTGTTAATACAAAGAGGAACATATTTGTTTGACATTTCTTAGCTATTGGATAATCTTTAAACTTCTTACTGAGTATCATTTGTTTCTATGCTGGGTGATTGTCTGTATTTTTAACTGCCCTAGGAACAGATTTATATTTAATCTTAGTCTTATATATAAATAACGTTTATCAAAATTAGGTACATACAAAACTACGTGGAGTCAACAAATAGATTTCATATCATAATCATGTAAAGGCTATTTAGTATGTTTTTTTTTTCTATTTTATAACTGTTGTCGTTGAAATATATATTAATTTTAATGTATGTGTGTTCAAAATGCAATTAATTTATATGCTTTTAATGAGTTAACATTAGCAGAATTGGGTCTTTGTAAAACATTTAATGGCTAAACACACTTTGTTTGAAACGAATCAAAGAAAACCTTTTATTGTATTTTTATGGTAGGAGGAGAGAAAAACTGACTTGAATGCATTATATCATTATAAAAGAGCATTTCCAGCAATTATCGTTTGCTGTTACAATAGCCATTAGGTCCTAAGTTGCCTTTTAAATAAGTTACTTATACTTTATTTAAAAGAACTTCGGTTGCATAGTATTTATCTGAAGTCATCCTGGAATAATACATGACTAAACCCAGTAACGAGTGACAACCGAGCGAGAACTTTTAAACGGCTTCAATACAGTTTAAAGCACAGTGCCAAACCCCAAAATTTATATAAAGACATAAGTACATTAAATATCCTAATGAAATCAAATAATTATATAAACAAGTATTTTCCCTAAAAGCAATTCTTAATCGTGTGAGATAGGTACCAGAACTTAACTCCAAAGATGAATTTATAAAAATAAAGTGCTTAATATCTATAAGTTAAATAAAAAGAAACTTTAAGATACGAATCCATCTACCTAGGAAATGTCATGGGCATATAATCATAAGATTTAACCATATACATAGGTCCCATTTTGGCATCCGGTTCATGACAGTTCACAAAGCCTAAAATACTAGACGAAGTTTTAAAATATTCAATGTTTCGCTGTCGGAATCGGATTTTTTCTCCTAATAATAAAATTTATAAAAATTAATGTGATGTCAACACGACCAGTGCTCTTTGGTCAGGACGGTCGTCTGAACTGTCACACGACGGTATAACAAGGGTACGAAGCCAGTACGACGGTTGGTTTAGTAGATTAACTGTTTTACTAGTACATAGGATTCTTATGAAAGCCTTAGGTGTTTCCAATATAAAATAAATTAAAAATAAAACCAATTGGGGAACGTCTGTAACAACATCACATACATTGCTCTCATTCCATGAAAAGCTAAAGCTCTCCTATTATGGAGTATCTGTGAGAACGAAGGTACCATCCAGACCAGGGACAATGTAGAAAAGTCCCTTTTTTAGAATCGAACCCGCGACTTAGAAATGATGACACCTGGAAATTGGTGTGCGAACCACTCTAAAGAGGTTAAGAAGAAAAGGTTGACTGTTACTATATTTTTACCATAATGTACTTAAGTCGCAAGTATTCTGTAATTAAAAAATTTACTGCGCTTGCTACGTGAAAATGCCTAATTTTTAAACGATTGGAGAAGATTTCTTGGAATAAAGCCTCCTTTTATGTGCAAAATAATGTACATAGAACGCTAAATTTCATAATTATAAGCTATTATTTTTCATATTTAGACAGCGCTAAATAATAGATAGGATAATATTAGGTCCTTATATATGAAATTGGCGTTTTGTCGTACTGGCCACTTTAATCACAAATTTCTCCTCCTTGATTGGGAATTTAAAATTTATACAGCCGTTTACACGTGTATTTGTGTTTCGTTATGCGACATTCGTTTCGTTTTTTTCTTCTGTTTTTCTTTTTCTTACGTCACCCAGTATAAAAATGGAATACTTGAAATATCGTGTTATTTACGAGTACGAGTTCCACCGTGGTACCAATGCTGCGCAAGCGGCTCGAAGGGTTGATGATGTGTATAGCGGTTGTGTCGCAAAATAAAAATTGATTTTAGATTTTATTTATTATTTTATATAAGATTTTATTGATTCCCGTCCGAATGGTTTTTTTAGTAAGGGGAGCAATGAACTACCTATGAGATGTAAAAAGTGCATAGATAACAATGTTTATACTTTGATTAAATGAATATAGTATATTAAAAAATATTCGACTTTTTATTCCTCCCATACTTAACACCAATTTCATATGTAAGGACCTAATAGATATTCCTTTTACCATTGTACCTTAAGGATAAATCTCAGGGTTCAAATTCTAACAGCGCAATAATTAAAGAAGTCTGACGATTGCCAGTTTCAAAATATCCCGCCCATCAAATCTCCTTTATCCAGAGCTATTAAACGATTAAATATAAAGATCCAATGATCGCATTACTGCGTAATTCATACGTGAAATTCATTGAGCACGCTCACCGATAATCAATAACTCTTTACCCTAAGTTGGACCAGGCGGTTTCGGGCACGACACTCCATTTTACGGCCCATCAATTTGATAGTTCGATAGTGCTTTTCTATGTTATGGTGTTGGTGGGGCCTCTAAGGAATCTAATACCATGTAGTTTGGAACAAATGTGCTGTGTTTTACAATACACTTATACTGTGTAACTTCGTACTTTATCGTGTTTTATTTGTGAGTGAGAATCACTAAATTCAGAAATGAGCAGAGGAATTGACATATAAAAACTTTTTTATAGTATTTAATTACTCATGAATTGTGAAGACTCTATCAACACAAAAGATAATTTGGAGCTTGAATGATTAAATAATTCTAACATATTTTTTTATGAATGTTTTTTTAAGTATCAATTGCACTGGCTTTCCATTGAGTGATCCAGGGTGATAATAGCGAATTTTCATTAGTTATTGTTTTATTATCCAATAAGATGAGCACGCATACGCAGTCAATAAACACTAAAGATAGCATATGTCAAAAGCCTACTCAGGAGCGTTAGAGGTGGCCATTGCCAAAGTAATATTTCTGTAATTTCTGTTATAATCTACTGAAAAGAATAAAGAGGCAATATGATAAAGATCAAATAC